GATCCGTGGATCCTTGAGTGATCCGCTGCAAGAACCGTGGACCTTCGATCGCTCCGCGGATCCTTGATAGATCCGTGGATCCTTGATAGATCCGTGGGCGGCTTCGGAGCGACGCGTGACGCGTGACGCGTCACGCGTCACGCATCAAGGAGAACGACAAGAGCCACCCTTATAATAGGGGGAAGTATGCGGCGGGACTCATTTGGACAGCTCTACGGCGTTCGGCCCACCTTACGGAAGCACACCCCTGAAGAAGATGGGCAGTTTCTGCGCGAAGAGAACTGCTCGCGAGCGTCTGTCCCGCGATGCTGCTGTCTTCACGACGTACTGCGGCCGGGTTGTTGCCCCTCAAGACAGCGCCGGCGCAGTGCGCTCCATATATCAAACTCCACCAATGCACGGGCATCACCCTCAGACAAAGCCACGCCCGACCCCTCTAACTGGCTCAGTCGCTGCGCGTCTCTGCGGCAACATCGCCACGCTGGTGGGCCTTCCAGTCCTCCTCCTCCCTGCAAGTCCAAGGCAAGCACAGCCAAACAAATTACATACGTGGGAAACTAGCCAGCGACAGAGTGCAGAAGCACAAGCCGCCATATATCTCCACAGCCAGGCGCCCCTAACTCCTCACGCTCATGCCCCGGCCAAGTGCCCTCAGGAAGAAACCTCTGCCGCGGTTTCGTCCTCCTTGATCGATGCGGCAAGCTTTTGCCATCCGGAGCTCGCACCGACTTGCGTGCAGGCAGAGCCCAGCCAGCGGCGTCGCAGACTCCTGCGCGCGTGTGAACCCGCCCAACGAACGGGGGGCAAGCTCCTGCACCAGGTAGCTCCCCGGCTGGATTTTGGTAGCCTAGCGCGCCGGGCAGCCGCGTCTGATGGTTATGGGTGGCACGCAGTAGCCCGCGGCCCTGGCTCGAGGGCCTTGGCGAGCTAGGTAGCCCCCCGGCAAATACTGGGGCGGCGCCCTCCGTCCTTGTACGCCAGTCGTGGCGCCGGCGCAGCCCCGACACCGCCGGCGCGATAATTTGTAAGACCTGACGCGCCGCGGCAAGGGGCCAGGCACTCGGCGGCGCCTCCTGTGTTCGTCCTGAAGAGGGCACTGGGTGTGCCCCGTTCCCAGCCGCAACTCCCCATGTTGTTCACAAGACGGACCTTGCGGTCTGCTCAGAGCCGCGCAGCCCAAAAATCCAGTGAAATTTCATTGAAGCAGCGGCCGCGTTTCTTGTGGCCTGCTTTTTTGTAGTAAACTGTGGAAAGAGGGCTCCGATTGTTATTCTTTTTGTGTTTGTGTTGCTGCCATAATTGTATTGAAGACCGGAAGGTAATGCTACCACGCCTGGCTTCGTCTTGTTTTCCTCGAGAAATTTCTTTCCCAATTCAGCGTTCCGGCTCGGCGCATCACGTAAGCCTAGCATGCTGAGCGCCGAACCCATTATGCCCCCACTCGCACGACATGGCGGCGTCGCTCCACCGCTACCACTTCGCGCTGTTGCGAGGAAACCACGATACTGCTGGTTGTACGAAGATGAAAGAGCTGCATGACACCCTGATGTTACACTTCTATTCAGACAGTTTGTGGCAGACGCACCACAGACAGAAGAATGGCCTCTCGAGGCAAGACGAAACGACGAGGCAATCGTCATCTTTGTTGGGTATAACTGATCGCTAATTATCGATCCTCCGGTCTAACCGTTATTCCTGCTGATCACTTTAAAGCTACGATGATAAGGTGATACAACTACGAAGCATTTGTATTATTAGAGGAGAAAATAATGAAATAACCATAAGGTGATGCGATAAGATGAAGCCGAGCGTACTATTCAATCCTCATCAAGACTTGGATAGAGGAGTACTGACGTAGGAGAATGACATTGACCACGATTTCTTCAGCCATACGTGGAACAGGCCGACCACGTATTACATCACATGAACCGTTTCTCAGGCCGACAAAGTTCAGAACAATTACAAGTAGACTCTTCGGAAAAACTATCGTAGACCCTGGAAAGAGTTGTTTCACAAACGCTTCAACTTCAAGTGGAACAGAGAAACAAACGCTTCAACTTCAAGTTGAACAGAGAGAACGGGAGAACACAAATCATCTGACAGCAAAGTACGAAGATGAGTCCTTCGTTCGACCTTTCATACCACATGATTCTTTCATTCTTGACCACGTTGTATCACATCATGGGTCGTGGCTGTCACACAGTTCAAGATTGAGTTGGGATAGTTGTGTTGCCGGGATTACAGCGGAGAAGGGAAAGTTCCTCCCTAATCACAAGGGAGGATCTCAACAAATGCTTGCGAGGACTTAGGTGTTAGGAGGTGGACAAGATTGGGGATCTCCCGGTTCTGTGTCGGTAAGCTTAGGTGTTAGGAGGTGGACAAGATTGGGGATCTCCCGGTTCTGTGTCGGTGGACAAAAGACCGTCAGCGTCGTGCATGGAAAATCCGAAAAAATTATGCAACCCGAAAATACAGAGAAGAACAAATGACATCATAAGCAAATCATTTAGCATCACAAGTCGAAGGAAAATCCAATAAACCCAAGAAGTACTACAACTCAATAACTTTGCAACGCTAGAACAAGTAAGAAGAACAAGACAATAGCCAAATGCGGGTAGAGGAAATTTCTATGTATAGCGCATCTTCTAGACAGGTAAAGCGACTTTCTTCTGATCGATGTGTCCATAGTGCGCATCGAATTCACGTCTAAACCGTTTTTGCACCTTCTTGTCACTGCACAAGCGGTCAAAGATTTGATACACGTTGAGTTCGGTCATCTCTACGCTGTTTTCAGGTGGATTCACGATCTTGGTGGCCAAAGGCCAAAGTCGTTTTAACCATGCTGGCGTATCTGCAAAGATCGCTCTCAAATGCGTATGCGGGAAATGCTCCGCCAATGGCAAAGCGATATCTACGATCTGCTTATGGTACCTCGCTTGTTGAAACACGTTGGTGACCGAAAAATCGCGCATATTGAAGATCACATAGGGGGCGGGAGCTTTCAAGCGCTTGAGATTCTCGCACCTTGTTCGGAACCAATGTAAGGCGGCAGAACAGATTTGCTCTTGCGAATACACAGAGAGACACTCGCGAGACTGGAGGTAGCGGCAATCCCAGGCTTCGATAGGATAGCCGTCATCAGCAATCCAAGGGCCAGCTTGAATAAAGGGCTGCAAACCAATAGTGGGCGTCCACCTGATGTTATGTTGGAGGTCGTGAACAACAGTGTCATATTTGAGGGACGATAGAAATGGAGCAGGAATGGATGGACGTGAATGTATGAGAGATATCTAACGAGAAGATAGAGAAGATGCATCTAACATGCTAGCAAAAAAAGCTCTTTTTATACCTGTTGACCAGCAGGTCTTTCAAAACCAGCACTCCCTTGTCATCGATCAGCTTTGGCAAGCTGTATTTCCGCCAGTAAACCATGGCTTTGATTTTTTCGAAGATCATATCTGGTTCCCGCGTTTCGTTCTGCAGCACATGTCGCAACAAAAACAACTCCAAACTTCCGAATACCTTCACTATTTGCTCTTGGACATCCCGTGACGATAGACAGAAGTCTTTTTCGGGTTGTTGTTCGTCTGCATCCGCAAGACCAACATCCGCAAGACCAAGAGCCTTGCTTCGTTTACACTCCGCTTGTATCATTTGCATCACGCGAGCTATCCTTTCTATGTCAAAATCCCGCAAAGGCATATAATTCCGATCTTGTTGCGAACAAAAAATAGCCTGCCTTACACGCTTTTCCACGATGGCAAGCTGTGGTGAGCGACTGGAAGATGAAGCAGTTACAGGTGTTGACCGCTGTGGCAGACATAAACTCCCTAGTTTACCAGGTTTTACGCGACTTCTGGCATTGACAACTTCTTTTACCGAAAGATTGTTTCCAAACCTGGCGGTTGAGCTCGTTGAAGGCGAAGGAGCATGTCCCGAGGTCCTGCTCCCTAACAGGCCAGTACTGTTGGAGGATGAAGCAAATGATGCACCAACTCGATGAAGATGATCTCCCGCGGCAACAGAAGTTCTGCTGTAAACTGAAGCTGTGGTGGCGTCAGATCCACGACAACTGGCGAATGCAGCAGAATCGAAGGTGTCACTACCTCCGTCTTGGAACGACACTAGGTCACTCGTTGCCTGCTTCCAGTGGTTATCCCGGTTTTCCAAGGGCGTGCTTGCGCAAGTACTACCGTCAGTTGCTTCTCCACCTTTGAGGATTTTCCCACCACCATCAACTACGTCTTCATCAACTACGTCTTCAGTGTCGTGATCTAGCTCGTCCCACAACGCGCCTAGGTCAGCAGTCTCAAGAACTTTCTTCTTGTCCGCTGCCAAGCGTCTTGCCACTAAGATTTGGGCATGTAAAGCAGAAATGCCAAAACCAATCGCAAAGAGGGAGATGAGGAAACTTGCCCAACAGACATTACCTCCCGGGAGGAAAGGAGTCGATGGGGGCTCTGAAGGCGATGGAGAAACAGAGGGAATTCCTCCTGCTGGCACATTATTGCCACTACTACTTCTGGAAAGAAATATTGATGCGATCAACGCTGGTATATTTGGCAACCCGTGGTCTTTAGATATCAGCTGTAATATTTGTGCTTGTGCTGGTTCCTCGTTGTTTTCAGCCTCTTGTGCCTGCTGCGTTGCTTGTGCTTGCTGTTGTTGAGTTGCTTCCTCTATTGGGTCCGTTCGAGTGCGAGTGCCTCGAGATATCTTAGAAGCCATAAAACCTCCACTCTGTTGACTCGGTTGACTCTCCTCTCCAGCAGAACTACTGTGCGGCACAAACAACATCAGAGCGAAAAGTGGTAAACTCCGTTGGCTCCAGCTCGTTCGGGTGGTGCTTGTAGAGGTTGTTGTGGCTGCGGTCGCACCACAATCATCATTGGCACTTGCACCCCGTTGCCACCTTGCGTAAAGACTTTCTGGTCGACGCACAAAGGAGACGAATTTTGCTTGTGTACTTCTCTCATTCGAAGATGGGAGTGTCCTCTGAGAAGCCGGCCGCTCCAAAAACGACCAGCATTGCCACGCAAATATGTTCAGATAGGCGTCTACGCGTCGTTTCGCCACACCGTGAGCTACTACGGCTTCTAGGGTTTTGCGAATGACCTCCTTGGTCTTGATTCCAGAGTCTTGTGACGAACTACCGTCTACACCAGTCAGTAACTCGGCATGCCTGTGTACTACAGCTGGATCTATGTAGGAAAGCAGCCGCGCAGACAATGGCACTTCGTCGCCGAGCTCCACGTTAAAGGTTGCTGCAGTCTGGATAACGGAATCACCATAAAACCATTTGAACCATGGTAACCACATGAAGGCGTTCACACTCAGCAACCCTAGCGCTGCAATGAGCACAGCCCTCGACCACCGTTTTCCATCAGTCGCCAATAAACACTCAATCAACACTGGTAACAACAGCACGAAGTTGAAGTACCCCGTTGCTGGTGCAAGAGTAAGCTGAGAAGGTAAGGTTATAGTATTCGCGTGCGCGTTTATCGTCGGCCCTCCAAGTGTTGCCAAGTCTTGTTGCAGACTTTGCTGTAATATCACGAAAAGCTTTTCCTCGTGGACATCACTGAGGAGCGCTGCTTGCCGTGCACACAGGAAGCCAAGAACGAAGACTAGGAAAGATATCCTCTTAGATCCCAGCTGGCTGTTGTTCACCACACCTTCTGAGCCGAAATCTAGAAACCGCCTGAAGCAGAGCTCGGGCTTAGTTGACGGAGAGCTCGTTTCAACTGACTTTGCAGCGGATGAGGAGAACGAGTTGAAACCTGCTGCTAGTCCTTTCCCTTCTTCCTGTGCCTCGAGTCGTCCTTCTCTGCTTTCATGTGAAGCTGACGAGTTAAGATTCTTTACTACTCCTTCACCAGTCTGTGCTTCAAGTCGTGCATTCCCATTCTCTATTTTATGATGTTCCACGGCCTCGTCCTCATCGTCAAACGGGTTGCACAAGGAAACATCATCTTCCTCGTCCGTGGTAAGGAGCGCATCGCTGTTTCGGAACAAAGGCGGGGGATGAAGTAATCTCTCTTGCAAGTCCTCTACTGTATGATCGTGGATTGCCGGAATTTCACTGGTGGTGGAAGCCAATTCAACCTCGTCAATGCTGCAAGCTGAAATACGTGGGTAAAGTGGCGGACTACCTGTTGGAACAGGGAAACGCGATTGGACTCCACTGGCATCAGCAACCGAAAGATGTCCCCGAATAGTAGTAGTACTACCTGTGCTACTCCTACTATTTCTCTGAGAACCATTCCCCGTAGTGCCTGTCCCCACTGATTCGGTACCACCAGCTGTCCTAAAAGTTCCTGCTGTCGTTGTCCTGGACCGTCTTGAGGTAGAAGCTGTCGTACTAGCATAAGCTTGTCCTGGAAATGAGTGGAATCCAGCTGACGTGCTAGTTCTAGCCTGAGAACTAGTGGTGCTCCTACCGTGAGATGATTGTACTAACGGATGGCTTGACTCTCCGCCAAAGGAAGCCACACTTTCTAGGTCGTCACGGTCAACGGGTATCGCGCTAGAGGATTGATGTGGTTCTTGATCATGGTAGGCTATCCGTTCCCCGTCGTTCACTGCACTTGCTGCCGAGGTGCAACCATGTGGACGCGCTTCAACATCATCGGTGCCTGAATTTGGTGCAGTACTGGCTATAACTGCCTTGTTGTGCTGCTCAGCGTTTCGCTTCCTTGCCTGACAGGCTTCCACACCCACACAGCATGCCTGCAATGACCATACAAATGCAGGCAAGTAGAAGAATAACAGCCTCGCCGGAACGTCTAACTCCGACCCAACCAAGAATATCGCTGTCGCCAAAAAATACGTTCCCAGAAAAACGGGTAACCAGAACGGCTGCAGCTGTCTACACGCAACCGCCGCGAGGACCACAAAAAGGTGTGTGAGCGCGACGGGAAACCTCTCGAAGTACCCATATTGTTCCGGAAGATGTTCTCTACTTCGTAAAGCAAAATGGTAGAAGAGACCTACCTGAAGACCCGCAGCGAGAAAAACCAATCGCTCTGCGCATTGATGCAACGACCGTGGAAGACGAGCGCCAGACTTACTACATTGCACCATCGTCTTTGTTATGTCTTGTGGTTAGGCATTAGTGGTAGTGGAGACATAGCACTATAAACTCGGAACGGGGAACTTACTAAAAGTAGAACTAGAAGGCTTCAAAGATACTTTTACTATACTGCTGTAAAAAGTAAACTACTCATGCATGCTAGGTAAAGTGTCGCAGGCAAAACGGACGAAACTGCGCAACAAAATAAGAATTATACATGGACGAGATGGACGAATATCTTTCAAAAAAAAACAAAGACGAACAGCAAAAACAACAAAACCTGCCTCTCGGACAAGAATGGTGGGTTGTGAGTTTCAGAAAAAGTCGAACGAACGATGCAAAATCCAGATAGTGTTGTTTTCATCTAAGGGATCTTATGTATGATTGTTGTGATCTTTGTTCTTCGCTCTTGTGATCTTAGCGTCTCTCAGGCTTAGAAAAGAGGATCTTGATGACTACGTTTTGATCTTAGAGTCTTTGTCTCATCCTGCTCGCTGATTGCTTGTTCTGTTGTTTTAGTTCTTGGAATATCTCTCTGATAAGTTGGAGCTCTCGAGGTAACGACTGGCTCCCTCTCCTGGCAGAGATCTTCATCATTCCATCATCATTCTGGAAATCCGCTATCCCTGCCCACAACCCTTGCTAGATGGCCACACACAGCAACGCGCACGCGGCTTGCGTTCTTTAGTTTGTCAGATGAATATATTGAGTAAATAAAGTGCTGTAGGGGTACAGGAAACGGGTAAGGGAATCCCCTTTTTTTTGAAATCAAAACGGGTAGGGAATCAACATAATTATATGGAAGTTTCATAGACACGGGAAGAGCCGAGAGCCAATGAACCTATCCCGTTCTTTCATCTTACTTAGTTGGGGACGCAGGAAAATGAAGCCCGACTGAGCATGGTTTTTTAGAGTTCTATGTATATGGGGCGTCCTATGATGACAGATAACGCGCCCATCTAGGGGCGAGGGCCGTTCCGCGATGGTGGCCGTCCCTTTTTTTCGTCCTATGGAAAGCGCTCACATCATCTTCACGTAATTCCGATCTTGATTATCATTTTCTTTGAATACCAAACAAAGATGAAAATGAATCCACTAGTAGGAATAACTAGCGACCACGATGACTAACGTGGTAAACACGAAAACTTGGTTTTTTAAAAATCTGGACTATTTCAGCACATAGAAACAGTATGAGACCAAGATTGAAAGCCCTTGTTTCACTATCACAAGAACTAGCTAGCATCCATGTCGAAAATCAAAGATAAAGTCCTCTGTAGAAGAAAGCAATTTAATAAACGTCGTTGGTAGAAGCACAAGTGCAGATTCATCATTCGAGATCATAAGTGTGTGTGTTGAAAAGAACCAAAACTACGGGTCCCACTACTAATCTTAATTTGCCTAATCTCACCTGCGTCCTCGTGCATCTCCTCACCTCCGTCTTTGTCCACGATCCGGCATTACGCTGCCTCCTCGATCTGGCATCACACTGTAGCCTCTCAAGTACCGGTCTGCAGCGAAACGAGAGGCAGAGTTAGAAGTGGACGAGGTCTACTATGTCAGTGCTACCTCTAGCAGTAATTACTAGTACTTCAGAGATAGCAGATACTTATTTTCAGTGATTTTTAAACCATAAATGTTGAATTTTTTGTGTTATTTAATATTTCACCATAAATGTTGAATTGCCACCTGCTTCTCCACGTCGTATGTCATCCAGTATTTCGTCTGCTCTATAGTTGACCCCTCTGGCCATAGAAACGCTACTGGACGCACCTCTGTATTTCTCGATGATTCTGTCATACGCCGTCATTGATCGTTTGTCCTCCATGGGGCCGCCTCTCGCCGTAGAAGCCATTCGTCCTGCACCTGAACCACTAGTAGCTTGTGGTAACATCATAGGTTAGACCTCACATATATTCGTCTTTAAGTGCATCTTTGACGTGTTCTCCCCTTGAGAAAGGGGGCAAAGATGCTTCTTGATATGAATTATTGTGAGCCTTAAATAGAGCCTCTTGGTGTAACGCTGGACGGGTAGTTTTGATCGTATCTAGTTCCACGCTGGTCTAGTTGAGGATGTCGCATAGGAGCGCACGAATGCGATGCGTAACGAAGACTGCGAGAAGAAGGAGGATCAAGAAGATGCTGATCACCTTAGAAGAAGACGTTACTTATATTCATCTTGAAGAGTGTCTTGGTAGTCATTTTCTCTCACAAAATATCTCCAAGATGCTTGCTAAGATGAATTACTGTAAGCCTTAATCACCTCCGCGAGCAGGAGTAGATCCTTGATGACTCGGATACTGTCCCCGGCTCTCATCTCCGTAGTTGTATCTACCAACTCCTTCTCTGGCAGAATCAAGTCCTCCTCTCGAAGACCCCATCGATCTGACAGAATCCATGCCAGTTCTAGAAGGGTTCATTGACCGCGTAGAGTCCATCCCTCTGGCTGAGCCCATCGATCTGACAGAGTCTAACCCTCCACGGGAAGGATCCATTGACCGCATAGAGTCTAAACCCCTCCTTGAAGACATTGAGTCCACAACTGCTCCTGCTTGAATACCAGACGACGATACACCAGCTTTGCCTCGCAACATCTTCTCTATCAACAGGTCGTCTTCGTCCTGGACAGTGCGGGAACTGGTTTTAGAAGATAAAGAAAAAAGGTCGACTATGATTGCTAAATTTCTGTTGTAGAGCAAATGGCGAAGAACTAGGAGGAAGCCTAGAGGAAGCGCCTAGATCGCTAACGCATAGACGAGTTGTAAAACTGTATCTATAGTATAAGTAACCAGACTATCTCGTCTACTTTCACGAGTTTTCCCCCATAAGATTTGTTGCCCCTCCAGGAGGAGCTCCCCTGCTGTATGCATCCACGAAAGAGTGCGAGCGAAGCGATTCAGCAACAGACCGCACGGATTCCGCACCAGGAGACCTCCCAGAGCGCGAGTTGTACAAGCCCAGTTGTTCTCCTCGAGGAGCCTGCCTAGTATCTCCTGGATAGATACTGTTTGTTTGGATTGCACCACTGCGCTGATCCACCCGATTGTCAGACTGCGCATATCGTCCAGACTCGCTGACCGCACCGTAGCCACGGCCACCACCATAAGAGGATGCAGGCGTGCCAGAAGCAGAATAACGCTCGTCTTCTCGTCTATTGTACAGGTGGTCACCTCTGCTTGTACTAGGCTCATAAAGCCTTGCCGAAGTCGGCGTGATGGAGCTTTCGGCGTATCTTGCTCCACTTGTTCCACCTAGACCTCCTCGATCCCTAGGAGCGCCATACATTAGCGGTAGGTTTTTGGTGTTCGTGGGTTCTCCCGCTTGTTATGGCTGTCCCCCTTAGGAGAGCCATAACAAACGGTAACAAAACAAAGCACCTTTAACCTACCCTTAAATACAAATCCTGCTCTCCTGCTCGAATCTCGGAGCGAGCATCCGAACGAATAGAATCGCGTCGACCAGCACGGCCTCCATAGGTGCTACGATTGGAGGATTCCTGGTTGTATCCAGCTGCACCCCGTGCAATTGCTGGTGGCCCCATTAGATTGACATCGCGTTCTTTAATGCTTCGATAACTAGAACCCGAATCCCTGCGGCTCCTTGTCTCGTAAACACCTGATCGCACCGACTCAGCGCCAGAGCGGGTGCGTGGAAGAAGCGGTGGAATAGCTGGCGGACCCAATAAAGGAGCACGGTCAACATAATCATGTTGATCTCGAGTGCTCTCTGTTTAGAACTAAGAGAAATCCATCTTCGGACTCATCTTGGTTCCCATTTTCCTTTTGAAATCGGACCAAGATGCTTCTGAAAATGGGAGATTTCTTGTAGCCTTAATCTGTACGGGTAGTTCCATACAGCTGGTTGCTAGAAGTGTCACCTCGAGTAGTGATGTTAAGGTTCTCCTTACTAGAAAGGTCAGAGGGACGACCGAGACCGCTATCGATGACAGGACGACGGGAAGACTCCGTGCTCACACGTTGGCTTCGAGGCGTCCTACCGGTTGTGAGTCCCGAACTTAGTTTCTGTAAAAGTGGTGGTTCTCCTCGCGGTGTACCAACATTGCTGATACTAGATCCATGTCTTTCTAGTTCTAGGCCTTTCCCTCCTCCTGCAGCCGGAAATGAGCCAGAGCGACTGATAACATCAGGCGCGAAGCTGCGAGATCTATTGCATTCTCCCCGCAAGGCATCCACCCCACTTCTTACACTACCACTCGGGCTAACTGCCCTCGATCTAGACGGGGCTGGGAGCGCTGCGTCTCCGCGTCCTACCTGCAGCACCTCCCTTGAAAGCTCCTGCTCTGCCTTTCTTGAAGATGTGCTTTCGTTTTCAATTAGCACGGGCGCTTTTCCAGAACTCTGTTCGTTTGCACTCGTGTCGCCAACTCGAATGATCTGACTGGAGCTCGTATAGGATGCAGCCCTAGCGCGTGAATCTCGACGGCCATTAGCTGCGTAAGGGGCCCTCGACGCTGCGGGGCCACCAACACTATAGGAAGACGACCGCTGCAGTTGTTCTCGAGATGATAACTCTAACTCTTCCAGCTCTATGTCTTTCAGGATGTCGTTCACAAGGGCACTGCTGGCATCGCGATTCCGTACGGATGAGCTATTCCCGGCCATCAAAGGCTCACGTAGATCACGTTCTCCTTGACGACCAAGATGTAGATCTCTCTCGACATCCACCCGCTCCTTGAGAAGGACGCCTACTCTTGGAGTCGCACTTGATACGGTACTCGCTGCTACACCGGTGCTCGCATAGACCCCTGCTGGGTCACGCGCGCTAAGATTTCTCTCATTTTCCAAAAGAGTGATCTTCTTCGCTCCTTCTAGTATAACCTCAGTTCGAGGAGGCCTAGAAATATAGTCATCGTCACGACTCGGGAAGTCTTCGAAGCTTTGGCGATTTGAATTATTGGTTCCTCGCAGAATCTCAACGTCTGCTCCATGGCGCGGAGGCTCCCTCAACGGGCCAAGAGGTTCCTCACGTACTAGTCGCTCCCGTTCACGATCTCCATAGACTTCTCCTCTACCTGCTCCTCTGGTGCCTTGAATATCCTTACCCAGATAATTGGTGTCGTCCAATGACGTTGAATTTGCCCTACTTGATAGAAGTGCTCTATCTTCCCGTTGAGCAAGTGTTTTCTCCAGAAGGCGATTCTTCTCAGCATTCAATCTTGCAAATTCCTCCTCCAATTCGCGGAGATAAAGGGCGTTACTAAGAGCCGCTTTGTCTGTAGTACTTTGTCCAGGAGGAAGAACAGCTTCATCCCGTTCTT